ATGGTTGATTGGATGAATAGATTGGTTGAGATGTTAGAGATTTGCAAAAGTTGAAGAAAGGGTTGAAGAAGAGAAGAGGAAAGTGAGGAATGAAAAGAAAAAAACTAAATTGTTGGGATAGAATTTCAACTCACAAAGGGTGTAAGCTGGACTTGTCAACCTGTAAAAAAATCTGAGTTGGCATGAATATGTTAATAGATAATGGAGATTAACGACGCACGTGCCACGCGTGCCCTTCTGGCATTAAATTTTGCTTATTTCCCTAAACTTGAAAACATGAAGGATAAAAAATCATATATTGCAATATAAAAGGTAAAATCCCTCAAATTCGAAAAGTTTAAGGGCAAATGGGTACCTTTTGCCCAGAAACGACGGGCTTCTTCTGATTTTGGACGTTTACGTAACCTTGGCTCTGTAAACCGTACGTTACTTGTTTATTCCCATTCTGGCCCTTCAATTTATTTTACTTTTCAATCAAGTCCCTTTTTTAAAATAAAGACCAAATTCCTATTTGCAGTTTGTATACTATTATTTTTAATTAATACTCTAAAAAAATTTTACTTTTATTTAACACTTTTTATAATTTAAAACTTATAAAAAAGTCAAAAATTAATAGTAAAAAATTAATAGTCAAATTCCTTATTTACACCATATTTTTCTTAGTAATTTAGATTTTTTTTTACAAATTTTAAATTATAAAAAGTATTAATCGAGAGTGAAAATTATAAATGATGTTGATTGCAAAAAAAAAAGTGCATGGTGCAAAAAAAATTAGCAAAATAAGATGTGGGGTAGAGGTTTGTGTTTTGTAATTTAAAATGTATCATGTTGTAAAAATAGAGTATCAGATGAAAGAACTTCTCTTATATTTTGAGGATCTCTTATTTGATGGTTTATATTGGCCAATTTAGTGCAATATAGATTGTACAATGTTTTTTTATCTTTTTAATTAAAAGAGTAATGATGCAGCGGACGAAAATGCGAGACAAAAATGGGGGACGACAAGTGATGTAAGGGGGTTAAATTGATAATTGCACTACATACATAAATCTTGCATCACTTATCGTCCCCCATTTTCGTCTTGCGTTTTCGTCCGCTGCATCATTACTCTAATTAAAAAGGAGAAATTTGAAATTTATTGGTAACAAATTCAATGATAAATGCTAATGAGCTAATAAATCGAGAAGTATCTTTTTCTTTTTTCTTTTTTCATTTTTGAATCCAAACATTTCAGTGAAGTGAAAATGGTGATAATAATATGAGAGGATTACCCTATGTTGTCTAACCTAACCATTTTGTTTACTTACCAATATGGCGATATAGGAAAATTGGAAAGTCTTGTGCAATTCGACTTGGGTTGAACTATACAATCTTAACTATCATTGGGAAAGGGGGGTTGGGGGTTCTGAATGTGGAGTCATCCTCCCCCAATCAATGGTCATTTTTTTACAATCCAAATTCAAAAGAAAATATTGATGGTTTTCTTCTGATTGGTTTTGTTGGTACTCAATATGTTGTGGTAATATATGCCAAGTTAAGCCAGCCATGGTTAGGTCACAAACAAATTATTTACATAGTAAAAATGTGTGTTTTAATTAATAAGAATTTGAAACATTAAATTAAAAGTAATATATTCAATCTTAAGTCAGATGATAATAAATTTCAAGAAGAAGAGAGTTGTCTTGGTTATATAACCAATCATTAAAATATACATACCAAAAGAATAAAAACAAACTAATTAAAGAAAACTTTCTGAGCTTTTCTAGTGTTAATATGAATGATTTGCCTTTATAATCCAAAAATAGAAATAGCATTCCATTCAAAAGAGGGAAGAAACATTTTTAAATGAAATGTGTAGGCCAATGCATCTTCATGTGTCAAATTCGCTTGCACTTTACAAAGTAGGCAATTACTTCAATCTTTACTTTTGAAACAAGATGAGAATTCCACTAAGAAGACTAGGTGGGATTAGACAGATCAAATCATATAGGTTCGACTTGAGTTACCTCAAATTCTGAGTTTATCAAATTTAGTCATTTTAGATTTTGAGTTAATTGGAATAAACCTATAACCCATTCACATAAATCTTGGATTAGGTCAAATGAACCTAAATTTTTAAAAGACTAAAATCAAAATTAATTTTTTTTTAATATTTTATCTGTTTTTCATAAAAAAAAAATTTAATATTAATTAATTATTTAGTAAAACTAATTTATTAAATTAATATTAACTCTAATAATCTAATAAATAATAACTATTTTATAGTAGTTAATTTTATTTTATATTTAAAAATTAAAATAAAAAATATAATTAATCAAAATTTTAAATTTTCAAAAATTAATTAATTTTTGTTGAGTTATTTTGAGCTGATTTTACTCAATGCTACCTAACTTAATCAGATTCAAACAATTTCCATTTGAATCATATCAAATTTTGGATTAATACTTTCGACTTATAACCTTATTCATTGTAAATAAAATAAATCAAATTTTCAAATGATATCTAATTTTATCAGGTGTAAGTGAGATTCCATAATAAT